CTATATTGGTTAATCTTAAAAATCTCAAGTTAATGCTAATTGCGTTACGAAATCATCATTTATTTGTTACGTATACACTTTATTCTGCCAATTGTTTTTCAATTCACTTTCTGTATAGATTAATTAAAGAAAATAAAACTTGTGACAAGTAGCAAGGGACCCTAGGTTTGCGAATTAAATTAAATATTGTTGCCCAATGTGTGGGTTAAAAATAAACAAAATTTTGTACTCTGTAATATTTATGAAAATGATTCCGTTCATTTTTTACTTGATTTCAGATCTTGCAAATTAATAATTTGAATTTGTCTATAAGTTCTCACTTGTGGCTCTCATATGATTAGAATTATATATAAGGCCAAGTTCCAGTGCGGCCGCACCATTAGCTATGCAAACACACACCAATAGTGTTAGAAAACGCAGAACAAAAAAATGCACCAATGCACCCAAAAACGCACTACTAGATATACATAAACGCACCATATAGTATTCGAAAACGCACAATTAGGTGTGAGGAGGTATGGTGCGTTTTGTGGTGCATTAGTACATTTCATTGTTATATGTTTTCTAACACTATTGGTACATTTTTACATACCTAATAGTGCGGCTTCATTGACCGCACATTAAGACATGATCGCATTTGAGCTGACATATACATATATATATATATATATATATATATATATATATATATATATATATATATATATATATATATATATAGGGATGCACTCAGGTGCGGAATAAGTGCTCAGGAGGGAAATGCGAACGAATCAGCACGCGACACGTGTCCAGATCTAATAACTTTAAAAAAAATGCGGTGGCATTTTCGTAAATAATTGAACATCGAAGTGCAAGTAAAATCACTTACAAGTGCACCTACTTTCACCTATAAGTGCATGTAATTTTGCCTTGTTAGCATTCACTTTCCGCAAACATTCATGCACCTGGGTGTGCTTATAACTATATGTGCAACTATTTATAACTATAGGTGCAACTACTTATAACTATAGGTGCACCTACTTTCACCTATAAGTGCATGTAATTTTGCCTTGTTAGCATTCACTTCCCGCAAACATTCATGCACCTGGGTGTGCTTATAACTATATGTGCAACTATTTATAACTATAGGTGCAACTACTTATAACTATAGGTGCACCTACTTTCACCTATAAGTGCATGTAATTTTGGCTTGTTAACATTCATTAATCTGAGTTCAGCGGGTAGTAATACCCCTGAAAACCACTCGCAAACATTCATACACCTAGGTGCAACTACTTATAACTATGTGTGCAACTACTTAGAACTATTGGTGCAACTACTTAGAACTATAGGTGCAACTAAGTATTGATGCTCAGTGTAAATTTTTACTTGCACCTATAATACATTTTACATGTACTTATAATACATTTTACTTGCACTTCGATGTTCAATTATTTACGAAAATGCCACCGCGTTTTTTTAAAAAATCAGTGTCTTTCATCCATTAGATCTGGACACGTGAATGAACAAAATTCATTCCTATTTCGCGCCTGGACGAAGCATTCGCACCTGAGTGCGATTATATATATATATATATATATATATATATATATATATATATATATATATATATATATATACCCACCTAGTTCTATACTTCTATACGCAATGATGTTTGTTTGAAAGAACGGTGGGGCCCCATGATTCCTTGGGCTGGGCCACCAACTAAATTAAGGGGAAAAGGGGCCAATATACAGGATCAATGGGTCAGAGCATACTGTCCTGGGCCCCTGACACTTAGGGCCCACCAGGAGCGGCCTAATCCGTTGTAAGCTTCCCCCATACCGATTTTAAGCGATTGTTCAACACCTACAATTTGTACTCCAAAACCCTCCGGCTGCGCATTTAAATGAGAGATTGAAATCCTAATTGTTAACTTTTAACTGAAGAAATAAGAATCTGATAAGAAATATGTAATTGAAACGATACAATTGCTTCAATCAATCTCTTAGGCTATGTTTGGAAACCCGGAAAATGACTTCTTCCGAGTTTTTGGTGTTTGGCTACACCTGGAAAATCCAGTCAACGGAAAACATTTTCCGTTGACTGGGGAAAATGAGCCCAATTTGGCGGAAAATGACTTCCGCCAAATTTGGGCGGAAGTCGTTTTCCGCCTTTCTCTTTCGTTATTTTTTTTTTTTTTTTTTTTAAATCTGGCGGAACCCAGTTCCGCCAGAAACCATAGCTATGGTTTCCGGCGGAACCCAGTTGGGTTCGCCGGAAACCATAGCCATGGTTTCTGGCGGAACCCAAGCCGGAAACCATGGCTATGGTTTCCGGCGAACCCAGTTGAGTTCCACCGGAAGCCAATTTATTTTTTTTTATTATTTTTTTTTTGTTTTAAAAATATAAAATGAATTTTTAATTCAAAATAAAATATTTGATTATACTATTCTACTCATTTTTCAGAAAATGAACCAAACACACCAAAACAGTTTTCCAAATGCAACCAAACACTGGAAAAGGAAAATGTTTTTTGAAAAATGACTCATTTTCCAAAAACCATTTTCCAGAAGTCATTTTCCTGCTTTCCAAACGGACCCTTAATTAAACACATCATAACGTCGTGAAGTTTCGTGTCGGGATGACAAAGCTGCATGCAAGTTGGGGACTAGGCTACTTGTAAGTCACATAGTCAATAGTTGATAAAGTGGATGTCTATGACTTTATGCATCTACTATTAATGTTTGGCTCTATTACAATTTATCTTAAATACCTTTTTAAAAGTTTTTTCAAATCACGGTGGAGGGTGTTTCAGTCTGCTCCTAGATTAAACATCTGAATCATAAATTATGTTGCAGAAGACGCTAGGCGAACGTTCATTTAAGGAGACACCAAGTGAGAACTTATCATTTGTTAGAACTTGCGAACTTGTACATAAATGCACATAATTTAGTGCACAATGCACACAATCTACCCTTAAATAGTTTGTGTGCATTCAATCATTCATGTTGGTTCACAGGTTCTCATTTGATTATATATATATATATATATAGAAAGCCAAAAACTTCGGATTGCATTAACTCATAGTAGAAACAATAAAAGGAGGTAGGGAATCCCTCCAGACCGTTCGTGCTTCGACCGCACTTACATGTTTACCTAAGGCATGAGCTACCAAGTTGGTGTCTCTGCGTACAAAATTAATAGAACAAGCGGAGAAAGAATTAATTAAACGTAAACACGAATCTAAAACAATACCAAGATACGAATGAAAAGAACTGGCATCCCGAAAGCTAGAAACAAGGACCGCACAGTCCGAAAAGATCTGAACATTGTGGTAGTTGTGTTCTTGTAGCCACGATAGGGCCTCACGTATCGCCATGGCTTCAGCTAGGAGGGGGTCATATGGACATGAAAAAGGACCACTGGCCACTGGCCCGCTGCAACAAAGGCGCCTTCCATGCTGCGCCATAGAAACCGGCGTCCGTGCTGCAGATTACCACATCTACAGGCGGCGGCAGTGCAAGTGAGTGTTCGGCCAAGGCAGGCGGTGGGGAGGCAGTGTGCCGGCGTGATTTGCATGTAGTCCAGGCAGCCCAAGTGCTTTGGAAAGCGTGGCATAGGTGCAAAGGAGTCGGCATCGCGAGATCCCAGACAGCCATGTTCCGAGCCCTCCAAATTTCGTAGAGTATTCCACAAATCTGTTCTTTTAGAAATCCAGCAGATGTTGCTGAGCTTCCCAACCAAACTTCCACCCATTGCATAAAATCATAATCATCAAAGTTAGGGATTTGGAGATGTGAAACATTCCACACACGTCTAGCATAAGCACAAGTGCATAAAATGTGCAAAACATCCTCTTCAAAAGCACCACAAGCCGGGCAAATATTTGGAATCTCCACTCTTCTTCTAACCAAATTAGTAATAGTTGGCAAAATATTAGTAAATTATAATAAATGGTTGGATTCAATTAATGTGGTTTGACCCATGTGCATTATAGCTCAAGTACAACTATGTAATTAATATTTGTGTCAACGGTACTTAAACATTTATCTGGTACAAAATATATCAGTGTCAATAGGTAACTTAAGAGAGAAGTAGACAACACAAACAAAGCATTTATCAATGGGGACCAAAAATGGACCCAACTAAAACAAATCTTTCATAACTTTAATGGGAACATTCAAGCCTCATTATTCTTGCTCCAAACATATAAGAACACTGGTGCTCATGGCCATGTGATTAAAATGAGGATGTTCATATTTGCATTCATAGAATATATCATTTTCCTTAAAATTATGGCCTGACTTTAATAGACACTAACAAGATCCCACACATGGTACATAAATGCAGCTTTCAGGACAGCTTCGATTTCTAGGTTATTTACTCGATCATAATTCATCATTTGACAAATTAGTAGTTTAAAAGAATGCATCAAATAATACTAGAAAACTTCTAAAGTGTCGATCAGCAGTAGTGCTGTGTTGTACCTATTACAACCGTGTAGGTATAGCAGGTTGTATTGAGTACTGTTACCCGTTACCCAAAAAAACCCGCTACACGTATGTGGTTGTACTAGGTACAACACGGTACTGGTTCTGGTTTACACCGTAGAAGTTCTCATTACTCTTATAATCAACAACATTTCAAAGTGGTCCTATTTTCAGATTGTCAAGACTGAGGATAGCATAACAAGTGTGGATATGGAGTTAGTGCAGAGGTATTACCAGCCTGTTTCTTGAGGTGACTAAGTAGTTGCTCCACCATGGAACAAGTGTCATCATAGTACAGATATAGGAGTTGAAGATGAGAGCCGCTTTCCTGGAGATACCGATGAAGATGGGGGAGACATGATAGGGTGGACCAAACGGCAAACTAGTCTACTTTGCAGGCTTCCAGCTACCTCATCTATCGAGACTCTGTAATGCAATATATTGTCAGTTCTTGTATATAATGAAAACTGTTGCACAAAGAAGTGTAGACCTCTCAATATAATCCTCGAAAAGTTTAGCTACTCTCACCTGCAATAGAACTAAAACAGCATCATGAGATTCTTCTTGCTTTCTCATAAACCATGAGAGACAAGATTCACAATCAAAGATGAGTACCAAGTTCCAACCTTATGCCCTGTTCCAACCATTCTCTCCATTCCAACCTTATTACAGTTCCAACCTTTACCTCCTAGTGCCCTGTTCCAACCATTCTCTCCATGCCAACCTTATTACAGTTCCAACCTTTACCTCCTAGTGCCACCCTGTACATCGAGTCCAACCTTATTCGAGCGACCCGGTAACATATACCTTGTTTAAATATGTTATCCCGCATGAAAAGCTTCTAGACCTCCATCTCTCCCAACCCAACTGAAGCCGGTGCCTTTTGATATTCCTCGTAACTTCATTAACTCTCTAAGTTCACTTACACTATCCCATTTACCAGCCTCCGCCAAAGTATTTGATAGTGCAACATATGCCCCTGGCCGACAATCACCGCCTAAATTGAAGAGTTCCTTAGCAGCTAAATCAGTGATTTCGACATCTCCATGCAGTCTACCAGAACTAAGCAAAGCTGCCCAAACATCGGAATTTGGCTTTTCGGGCATACTGATTACAAACTGCAGTGCTTGATTTAGACTCCCTGCACGGCCTAACAAATCAACCATGCAGGCATAATGCTCCATCCTTGGCTTCATTGAATAACCCTTCTCCATGCTGTCAAAAATGTTCTTTCCTTTAGCAACTAGCCCAGCGTGTGAACAGGCAGAAAGAGCACTAAGAAATGTAACATAGTTCGGTTTAACACGATGGTCTACTTGCATTCTGTTGAATAGATCAAGAGCTTCATTTGGATATCCACTTTTCCCATATCCATCAATCATTGAAGTCCATGAAAATACATTCCTTTCAGGCATGTGGTCAAAAACTCTTCTCGCATCCTCAGTTTGCCCACACTTTGAATACATGTCTATCAAAGCACTTCCAATTTTTACGTGTTCAATGAATCGAGTCTTCATGAGTTGTCCTTGGACTTGCTGGCCAACTTCGAAAGCTGCCAAGGCAGAGCAAGCCCCAATTAAGCTTGCAAATGTAGAAATCGTGGGCTCAAATTCCAATCTTTGCATGAGAATATAAAACTCAATTGCTTTCTTAGCAGTTTCAATAGATTTGCTATAACCTTCAATCATGGCATTGAAAACAACCACATCTTTTGTCATTGTTTTCTTGAACACCTCTTCTGCATCACCCACATTCCCTTGGTTCATGTACCCAGTTATCATTGAAGTAGAGCAAACCACATTCTTTTCCAACATTAAATCAAACACTTTCCGAGCATAGTGCACCCTCCCACTCTTAACATAGGAGTCAACCAACACAGTATAAAGCACATCATCATCACCACCAACACCACACCTCAATATCTGGGCATGAACATGCCTCGCTATAAAGCCAGTGTGCGATCCAACATCCAAGCAAGTAGACCCCTTCAAGACCATTGAAAACGTGAACCCATCGCCATTTTCACCGGAAAAACTCAGTTTCCTAACCAAATCAAAAGCTTCCTGGACTTTCCCGCTCTTTACATACCCCGAAATCATATAATTATAAGCCGAGAGTGTTGGTTGAGGCAATTCATCGAACACCCGGCGCGCGTAAGAGAGGCAGGAAGATTTGATGTAGAGTATTAGGAGCTTGATCGAGATATTGGTATTGGGTTCGAACCCAGCTTTCAGAATGTAGGAATGGATCTTTTGGCCGTGCGCAGGGTGATCTGAGTTAATGTAGTGTTGCAGGGCGGAGGAGACAGAGCATGAAGATTGTGGGTAGAAGTAGTTAGTTGCTGTTGGCGTTACTAAAGTTTTCAATTGAATTATTTTGCAATGCTTCGCCATGACTAAACTCTTCTGTGCTACAACAACGTAGTCCACCTCGAGGAATCCTAGAAATTATCAGGCAATGCATATGCACGTAATACAATCAACTTTTTATTTGAATTCACCCCCCAAAAAAAAAAAATCAACTTTTTATTTGAAAAAATCCCCAACAAAAATCACAAATATGAATGCTCTAATGAGATTGTACTCGGCACAAACATAAAAATTAAGTTACCATAAGCTTCTCTCAAAAAAAAAAAAAAAAAAAAAAAAGGACCAAAAGCTAAATGTAATCAAAATTATGGCAAATTATACCGTGCACCATTGTGCGTTCTAGGCTAAAACGACGTCGTTTTGTACCTTTACGCGTGTCTGTTGTTAACCTCTTAAAAAAATTCATGTTTCGAATGTACAGAATTGTATAATAGAAAATACAGAATTTTATACCTGAAAACACAGAATTTTTATAACTGAAAATCCTCATGTTTCAAATGTACATAATTATATAATAGACAACTCAGAATTTTATACCTGAAAACACAATTTTATAACGAAAAATTTTCATGTTCGAATGTACAAAATTATATAATAGAAAACACAAATTTTTATACTTGAAGACCCATAATCTTTTTTAAAAGGATAAAAATCTCCTATGTTGAATGTACATAATTTTATACCAAAAAACACATAATTTTATAACATAATATAAAACGACAATGTGCGCCCTAGTGCACGGTATAACGATTGCAAAATTATGGCAAACCCGTTTGGGCTTGAGCTTAAAAAGTTACAAATGGGCTGGGTCACTATGTCGTGGCTGTAGGCCGATCAATAGTCCAGTTCAATGGTCCAGTGGCAAATTATTTTGTAGATTCGGGTTTAAAAATACATAATTTATATATTGAATGTTCACAATTTTATATACTAAATATTCACAATTTACATACTAAATATTCACAATTTGAATTGTAAATATTAAATATATAAATTATATATTTTGACCCGTATCTACATTGCAAGGTGGACCCAGGTCCATAGCATAACTGTCGTAATCTCGTCACTGTATTATTATTAAAAGTAATTTATTCATAAAAATTTTGTATAATAATTAATATTTAATTGAAAAAATATCAAATAAATCATTGAACTTATAATTTTTGTGAATAAATTTAAAATGTGTGCAATTGAGACACTTTTTTTTTTTTCCCAATAGAATCCAATCACACTACTTATATTGTATATACTAAGGGTGTGTTTGGTTCGCACATGAGAATCAGAATCGAAATAGGAATCAAATACTTGGTAATGGTAATATGTTTTGGTGAAAGTATTTTTGCACGGTTGGTAGTAGGGTGGGATTGGATTGGTTACCAATATTGTTGTTTGGTTATGTATGACCCTATAATGGGAATAAAGGTTTTTTTGTGGGGTTTTTTTTTTTTTTTTTAGGGGAATGGGAATTAAGGTTTAAAAAATACAAGAACAAAAAATCAAGACAATTTATTCAATAATATAAAGACATCCAAAACACCAATATGAAAAGAAAAAAAAAAAGATTTAAAAGCACTAATCCAAACTTAAAAATCAAATTACCAATTAAGAGGATGAATAATGAAATGAAACCCTTATTTTATTAAGGAATGTGTTTTATAATTAAAGGGATAATCAAATTGCATAGTAGTGCTCTAGAAACCTGTCAACCAAATAAATAAATAACTTTGATTCCTATTCCTGATAGTTAAACTCATGAACCAAATACACCCTAATAGTTTCCTTTTCATCAACGATACTATCTGAGATGAAAGATTGAAATATATTCACCGACTGCTCGGAGCTCCCGAGTTCATAGTGTCCTCACATTTAACATTCGGTCATATGCCATTATGCCGGCATTGCAATAAACGACTGCCGACAGACTTTGCCTTTTTTTTTTTCCTCATTTATGCATTAGTTTAGTGCCGAGATCGACTAATTTACTTGATCACACTCTTGATTCAACAACCTTCTCTCATGCAAACTTTATGTACTGAAATTTGGTCGCTCCTAACTCTATTTTTGCTTTGCTTTAATATAATCTGCTATGGTTTGCTTTCAAAAAATATTCAATTCAACTTGCATTGGAAAAAATCAAAATATGTCATAATTGTATGTATTTTAATTGTTTAATTGTCCAGTTACACATGTTTTAAGTTCAGTGATCTTTTTTTTTTTTTTTTGAAAGTAAGTTCAGTGATCTAATTATACAAAAGTTATATTTTTAGTGGTTTTTTTTTTAATGAATTATAAGACACATTTTAAAAATAAAATTAATCTTCTTACAAATCTTTTGTTTTTGTTTTGTTTTTTTTTTTTTTTGTTTTTTTTACATACATAATCCGGATTCAACTAATTTAGATTTGACATGAGTTGTGTCCACAAAATTTAACTTTTATTCTTGGGAAAATCTAATTCAATTACATTAACAATTCACTTACTAAACGTCCCAAAGTGCTAAATTTTATTTTAAACCTAGTTTCATTAATTACCTATGAAAATAATCCATTTTAACTTTTAAGCATCAAAACTTATTATTGTGCACTGAAAGGGGTCGGTGGCCAAATGGTGGACCATAATTCTTATATCAGATGGTCACGAGTTCGATTATTATCAACATTTTCTTGATTAAGTGTATTATTTAATTTATCTCGTACACATCCTTAAATAATGACGACGCATTTCCCTAACTTTATTTAAAAAAAAAAAAATCAAATCAAAAAAACAAAAAAACTTATTCTTGTGATCAAGAATCTCTCACAAACGAGGGCATTTCCCAAGGAAATCAACTCCGTATGATTTACTCCAAAACCACTTCGAAAATCATTCCAAGAATGTATATTTAAGATTCTTCAAGTTTATGTGAACTTAAATTAATTATTATAGTGTTTGAATTTTTTGTTCCGAGAAAAATTCTCAGCTACTATTTGATATTGTGAATTAAATAAATTCTGTTTGTGATCTTTTAGTACGAGAAGTTGAGAAGCTGCTATATTCACTTGGACGCTTCGTTTGGAGCTATGAATCTATGATTGACAACATTTTCTCAACTATTCTTCTGATATATATCAAAAAAGAAATTAAACTAGTATATATACTATATACATGATACTGAGTATTATTATCATGATAATTTTAAGCTTAAATTCAACGTACTTCAATTCACATTATAATATAATGATACAAATTATTGAAACTAATTAATAATGTATATATGAGTCCATTATATTTGAGACATAATATAAAATTATAATTTTTGGTCAACTTTGAAGTATTATAAAATTGACATGCATATATTATATGAAACCATGCAATATATGAAAATGAGACAAATAATTGAATCAATACTTTCTCCATTGTCCCAAACTATTTTTTTTTTTTAAATATCTCACGGAGAAGGATAGTACGTGATGTCGTGATCATTATAGTTTTGATTTTTTAGTAGTGTAAAGACTTAGCATTTTAGTTAGTAGAGTTTATTCTTCTCATAGCCAAAAGGATCATATATATCGAAGTAGAAGAAGGGGATGCTCCTAGAATATTGGTCTAGTGCATAAAAAATTGTATTTAACACTTTATTTCATCAGTGGTATGACGGGCTTAAAATCGAACTAAAAAGACTATGTACGATGACATACTCAATCGAAAAAATATGAACAAAAATTGAAGTTGTAACATTTTGATACAAAAATTATGCTTTAATTAAACACTCGGTCATTGGGGTGTTGGGCAAGTTTTAATATATTTAAATATGACATAATTAAGTATTTTGGCTATTGATGTTGGAGTAGGAAGGGGGGAAGAATGTACACACAAACTAAGAAGTGTGCGTGCATGGTTGACGATTCAATTCACAGTCGCATTAAGTACAAAGAATTCATTTCCCCAAAGAAAATATTTGGTTGTTTGTTCAAGGGGCACCCCCACGTGCATGCATGGAATGTTCTATCTTCTATGTATATAAACCAACATTTCAACTTTCAATGGAGAATATATTAATAATTAGTAGAAAATATATCATTGTAAATTGTAATATAAATTTACATGGTATATATAGATTGATTTTTTTGGCCGGGGTTAAGATATTAACAAATAATAATTACATTATAAAATTAAGGCATCAACCTATATACAATTCATGATGATTAGGAGGTGACAAACACTATTTTTTTTTTTTTTTTGTGAGATTGGTACCACTCACACTGTGATTATCTAATTCTTCTAAATTTGATTCCTCCCGCATCCACCTGAAGAAGCCCAATCATCATCTCTTCCGGAGGATCTTCGAAGACCGTACAATAATCCCTCAAAAATTAATCAGTCCAAGGTTCGTCAAGAAATTCGCACACTTGTTATCTTCTCTCAACACATGTACGGGAGAACACCACCCTATTAAAACTTTTGTCAAGAAACCTACCATCCATGACGAGGAAGGATTATCCTCTTGTTGAAGACTATCTATAAAGTCACAAATACATATACTAAAATATAACTTAACATGTATAATCATCCAATCCGCATAGACATTCACGTTCCTATATATATATATATATGAATAGGATTAAACTTTAAAATTATACGGAGTATATAACTTGTGTTTATAACTTCTTTTTGATCAATCAAATAATCATAAACCGATAATATTTGGAGAAATGATTTTATATAAAATTAAAATTGTAAGCTTAATGGGGCTGTATACAATAGACTCAACCAAAATAATTTTAATTTTTTATGTAATTATATACAATAATCATGCTTTACCATTTAGGGCAAATTATGTTGTGCATCTGTATGCACCATGCATGGTGCATACGGATGCAAAAACGACGTCGTTTTATTAAAAACGCGCGTCTCCTCTTAAAACAAAAAAAAATCAGGTTCGATTCTCAGCAACAACATATGAATTAAAATTCTAGAATCGATGAACTATAATTTCAGAATCTATGAACTAAAATTTCAGAATCTAATCTATGAACTAAAAATTCCATAATGAATGAACTAAAATTCAAGAATCTATGAACTAAAATTTCAGAATTGATGAACTA